CTTAAAAATATCGTTTTGACATGAATCGTATCGCTCTATGTGCCGATATAAATACAAATATCGTTTTAGGCGATACGATACGTATCGTTTTTCAAATATCGTATCGAAATATCGTATCGTCCCTCGCGTATCGCGATATTCCGATACGATACGATACGTATCGCACATCACTATCTCAGTCAACTCCTAAAAATGTTGATGTTACTGATACAAATGTTTCTCAGGCAACTTCTGATTCGTCTTCACACCAATTATCCTCGATAAGAAGAGAAAAATGTTTCTTTTGTGGACGGTCACGACACTCTCGAGCCAACTGTCCTGCCAAAGACTCAGTTTGTAATATTTGTGACAAGAAAGGCCATTGGGCAACAGTTTGCAATTCTCGCAACCAAAGTAGGGCATTTAAGGGTAAAACAACTCAAAGTGAAAAGACAGAAATAAACTCAATGTCTTCTTCTCTTGTTGCTGCCTCACAAAAATGTCTTTCAAAAGCTACAGTATCACTGATGTTAAATGGCAAACCAGTAGATGCACTTATTGAAGATACTGGGAGTTCCGACAGTTTTATATCTGAAGCTACTGTGAAAAGATTCAATATTTCTAAATACCCAACAAAGCATGAAATATCGATGGCATCAACAAGCCATGTTTCATCAACTCTTGGCCACTGTATTGTTGACATGGTGTGCGATGGCCATGAATACCCACAGACAAAGCTGCTCGTCTTAACTGATTTATGTGCCGATGTTGTAATTGGACATGACATCCTTCGGCAACATTCTGCTGTGGAGCTGAATTTCGGTGGTAAACGCCCACCCTTCAACGTTTGCAATCTACTTAGGGCTAAAGTATCACCCCCACCACTGTTTGATAATCTAACGAATGACGTCAAGCCTGTAGCCATCAAGTCCCGCCGCTACTCTGAAGATGATAGCAAGTTCATAAAAAGTGAAGTAAGTAGGCTTATATCAGAAGGAATAATTGAACCGAGTAAATCACCTTGGAGAGCCCAAGTGATTGTGGTCAACAATGGGCACAAGAGACGTCTGTGTATTGACTACTCTCAAACCATCAACAAATTCACACAGCTTGACGCCTACCCTCTACCTCACATTGAATCATTTGTCTCTAAGCTTGCTCAATATAAAGTGTTCAGTACAATCGATCTGAAGGAGGCATATCACCAAATACCTATTCGGAATGAAGATAAACCATTCACTGCATTTGAAGCTAATGGGAGACTTTACCAATACACTCGAATTCCTTTCGGCGTAACAAATGTTGTGGCGTGTTTTCAAAGAACTATTGATCAGATTATAGAAAATGAAAATCTACTAGACACGTTTGCTTATCTGGACGATGTAACTATTTGTGGTCGTAGCCAAGCAGAACACGATCAAAACCTACAGAGATTCATGGAAGCAACTAAAAAGTATAATCTTACCCTGAACAAAGAAAAATCTAAGTTTTCGTTGACCAGCATTCCAGTTCTGGGGTACATTGTAGAAAACATGTCCATGCGTCCTGATCCTGACCGCTTGCAATCACTCTTGAATTTCCCCGTTCCAACTGATAATGCAAGCCTTAAAAGAGCTCTTGGCATGTTGTCCTATTACGCAAAGTGGATTCCTAAATTCTCTGAGAAGGTTCATTGCCTTACTACAGTCAAATCATTCCCAGTAGGCGTAAAGAAATATTGGCTTTTAAGACATTAAAAGAAGAAATAGCGAACTCCAGTATGTCTGCAGTTGAAGAAAATATTCCATTTACTGTAGAAACAGATGCATCTGAATCAGCTATAGCGGCTACCCTTTCACAAGCTGGTAGGCCAATATGTTTCTTTTCAAGAACCCTAGCTAAGAGTGAACAACATCTACCTGCTGTGGAAAAAGAGGCCCTCGCAATATTCGATTCAATACAGAAATGGAGGCATTTCCTGATTGGAAGACGGTTTAAATTAATTACAGACCAGAAATCTGTGTCCTATATGTTCAATCAGAAACACGCGGGAAAGGTTAAGAACAACAAGATTTTAAAGTGGCGATTGGAACTAGCACCTTTCTCTTACGACATAGTGTACCGTTCTGGCAAGGAAAACGTAGTAGCAGATGCATTTTCACAAGTTTCATCTTCCATCTCTTGTAGAGATTTCGAAAAACTCCGTAGAATTCATTGTGACATTGGACATCCTGGAATAGTACGAATGGTTCATTTCCTAAAAAGTAAAAATCTCCCTTACTCTATCGAAGATGTCAGGCGAATGACTGCGTCATGCTCTGTTTGTGCGGAAGTGAAACCTCGATTCTATCAAAAAACCCCATCAACACTCATCCATGCAATGGCTCCTTTCGAGAGACTTAACATTGATTTTAAGGGACCAATACCATCTGTGACAAGGAATAAATATATACTGACGGTTGTTGATGAGTTTTCAAGATATCTGTTTGCTATTCCTTGCTCGGACACATCAGCATCTTCTGTCATCAAAGCACTTACATCAATCTTCACCATCTTTGGTATGCCTGCTTTTGTCCACTCCGACCAAGGTTCTGATTCATGTCAAAAGAACTGAGTGATTTCTTACACTCTAAAGGAATCGCCACTAGCCGATCTTCACCTTATAACCCTCGAGGTAATTCTCAAGCTGAGCGATATAATGGAACGATTTGGAAGACTGTATCTCTTGTTCTGAGAAACAAGGGACTGAAGACAGAACAGTGGGAGTATTTTTTGCCAGAAGCTTTGCATTGTATACGCTCGTTACTATGTACAGCTACAAATGAGACCCCACATGAACGTCTTTTCAAACACCAGAGACGATCATTTTATGGCACCTCTCAACCTCAATGGCTCATGAATCCAGGACCAGTATTAGTGAGAAGGCATGTAAGAAATAACAAATATGAACCTTTAGTGGAACAAGCTCAGCTGATAGAGGCTAATCCAGACTATGCTCGCATCAAGTATAGAGATGGTAGAGAGGCTCTGGTATCGGTGCGACATCTCGCTGTTCCCCCTGAAGCTATCCAACAAGAGCATGAGCAAGTGACTTCGGAAAATCCCAGTCAAGAACTAGATCCTGTTCTTCAAGACCTGAGACGTGAATCAAACCTGCTTCAATCTGAAATTGGGAACTCTATTCAATCTGAAATCGAAACATCCCCTCTGCATGAGACCGTGACCCCTACTTCTGTGAGGGATAACGAAGAAACAAACCTGCGTCGTTCCACTAGAGTCCGAAGACCTCCCACCTATTTAAGGGATTACATTTAAAAAAAAAAGATGGGGTGAATGTTATGTAATATGATTTCTTTTGTACTGTCAAATATTTCTTCAGCTGTTTTATTTAAGACTGTTTTGTTTATGTATGTTGTTTACTGTTTTGTGCAATTCTCTCATGTAAAATGTAGCTGATTATTAAGTTGAATAAAACCATATCAATTTGGTTTCTAAACATTTGCTTTCATAACAGAGGAGACAATTAATAATAAGATATCTTTATGCGTATAAGGAGAGTAAAAAAAGAGAGGTGTGGTCTAACAGATACACATTCACTTGGTGAGAAGAGTAATATTTGCCAGTTCTGCTATGCAACTTACTTTGGAAGTGAAAAAAATATACGAAGCACAAGTGTTGTCACGGGTAAGGTAAACTTGCCTAATGTCATATCAAATGAATGCATGCAAGAAAATGTTTACTTCTGACACTGACAGATAAAGCATTTACTGTAGTATAAACTATATTAATGCCTTGACTATGATGAGTTAAAGTAGTAAGATTATACAAAATCTTGACGGACCTTATGTTTTTATTGTAAACTTTTGTAATACTCGCTCTACTTCAATTGAGAAAAAACGCAAATGGATTGTTTACTTCTAGGTTATGTTGCCAGTTCCTCGGACAAACTTATACAAAGTTTTTTGACTGAATTAACCAACAAAATACAGACATTTCAAGTCAATAATAAGAAGTTTCAAAAACTCATTTACTATTGAAAGTTATACCGGTAGTGGCAATATAAGTGACCAAACATGAATGAAGGAATTAGTGTTTATGTATTCAACAATCGAGTAGTTACGGTCAAGTTTATTTTTAAAATTCAGGGGAGGCAAATAATATACGCTGTTCAAGAGAAAAATGAAAATTGCTATCCAAATCTTTTAGCTACAAGAGTTATCCAACCTATTTCGACAAATGAATCCATACTTTCAAAACTTTCGGACAGGTATTAAGAGAAACTCTACTGAACAGAACAACGTGAGAATGTTCTGATGCGGGACAAATACTGTGACTGACAGACAACATGTTAAAATATGTTAACCAACTTTCAATGGTGTTTGCTGCTTTAGCCTATTCAAAGCAGATTATGACTGTCCAGTTGGTAACCCAGATTTTGTGGGTAAAAAGTGGAGCACATGAAATGGTTGATATCACCCCACTTTTTATGATTCTCTACGGAGAAAATTTGTTTGATTAGGGGATGTCTCAAATCAAAGAAATAAAATGACCCAACTTAAATTACTTAACACAGCTTATCAGTAAGGTAACGGTCTTCAATTCTCAATGCTGGAAAAACTTTGTTGCAACATGTTAACTCGAATTGAAGCAGATCGTTTAGCATTCATTAGAATTTATCAGTTAAAACTGAGAGCAGAAATAATGTAAGTGAGCCTTGACGACGCAAATAGAGATATTTAAAATTAGTTTTTAACAAGTGTTTAAACAACTCTAAGATGTAACTAGAATTACTCAAATTTAAGCATAACGTTTTCCTTGGCGTTATGTTTCATACTATGCAACTCATTGAGCCGCACGGGTTCTCTAGTATATATTTATATACACACACATACATAGTTCCTCTTTTATAGATATAGATATACACGAAAATATCTAACTTTTTTTTTTAGCCAACCTAAACTACAATTATTACTGTTTGCTTCTGTATACTGTACAACTAAAACAAAAGTAGCTTTGATTGTATAGGAGAGATTCAACTTTTTCCGAGATCAGCGGAGTGTCCAAGACAGTTTGGCCTGTCAAAGTGAGCGAGTCTATTTTTTTACCTGAGTTCAAAATTGGCTGTGGCATCAGTGAAAATAGTTTTAAGGTAAGCTACCTACAAACTCAAGTGTTTTTTTTATTACAGAGCTCAATTTTTAATTTAAATGTTTGATATTTTTATCACAGCTTTTTACTGTCATTAAATTTACGTAAAGTAAATTTAAACAGTCTAAAAACTGTTGAAGTTAAACATTTTATATTTAGACTTATCATACTGTTTAGGCTACTCATAGACAGTAAGTAACTTACATATATTATTATTATTATTATTTATGACGAAATTTCGGGTTGAGAGACAAAATCAGATTTTAAAGTGCGTTATTGTCGTCTCACCTGAAATTCTGTCACACCTTAAATTTGTCCAGATAGCTTAGCCTACTATGAGATAGTCCAGGACTCTAACGTGTTCGTTAATTAATTATCGTTTCGAGTTTATTAGCTCAGAATATTAATTATAACAATAATGCTTACAATGTTAAGCTTACCTTTAACTAGTGCTCATCATAGCCACTCGAAAAATATGTGAAGCTAAATTTAGAATTTTGAATAAATTATCGAGAATGCGGATGACCTAATTAATTAGAAACTTAACTAAAACGTGATTCGGTCGTTATACTTGGTAATCACCAAAGTAAACGTGTCGGGAGAATTAAACTCGGTCGATCACCAGAGTTGATGCGGTGTTTCTTAGAACAAATTTGCGTAGGACGGCTCGGGGTAACGGAATAATCCCCACGGATATTCCTCGGGTGAATGAAATAAATTTTGTGGCAAGTAAGAGTCAAGAGTATGTGTGCTGACGACGGGAAAAAGCGTGCAAGTCGCGCGCAGCGCGCAATTGCGGGCACAATTAAAATAAAAATTAAACTTCTCTACAACTAAAATTAAACGAAATTCTATATCGGTAGCACACAATAGCTAAGGACTCCGCCACCAAGGGGAACACTTAATCTAACTCACCAGGATGACTCGGGTCTTTACTAATTATTGGATTGCTCCAAACAGCAACGTCCTTATCGATCTGAGGCGGGTAGACAACTGAACTTGAGGTCTGCTCCTCTGGCCCTTCTTCCCCATCGCTCCTGGCGGCAGGGTAGCTAACTAACTTCCTCCCCACTACGATGACGTAGGCCTGCTCCTTCGATGCCGTTGTCAACGCGAGCGCGGTTTACCCCGAACGAAAACTAATACTTCTAAATAAAACTTAAAAAACGGCTTTTAACCCCTTGACGGCTTTTGGGTCGTTACATATTATTATTATTATTATTATTATTATTTATTATCATATAAAATATGGTAGATAGTGATAGATTTTCATTGGACACTCTATGATATACTTAATTAGCTACTGGAAGTTCCAGGCAAGGTTTCTTTGTCATGTTTCTTGTTTTTTTTTAAAGTATTTTAAGGTGTCTATAAATGTCACATGACAAACTCTGACAATCCCTCCTGAAAGGTGGAAGGAGCAACTGTGTGTTTAGAGAGGATGAATATTGAATAGACAGGAATATCTTGGATTTTGTTATAAGACAAAATTTGCAGGACCTTTACCGTACAGTTTTATGTCTTAAAGCATGTTATTTTTGAGTATTATCAAGTTCAATGCAGTGTTAACCAGATCCTTTAAACTCATGCTACAATGTGTTGTGTAAATTGTCTTTAGCCAGAATGTTTTGTCTTATCTCATACAGTGTACATCCAGCCTTGGGTAGTGTTAAACCTTCTGAATCCTAATAGTAAAAAGCTTGCCGTGACTATTTGATTATTGATGTTTGTCCAGCGTAAACACTCCCTCCATACACAATTTCCTATTCAGTTGTAGCAGTAATACGGTGATATTACCATGCGAATTCAGTAAAACGTTATTGTTTGTCATTATTTGATAAACATGGCTTTAGGCCAGGTTTTAGGGATTTTGTGGTAGATAGGATGAACAGGACACTCATTTAAGGTTAGATTTTGTTTTTGTACAGATATGTGAAGAGATTGGGAGAGGCGCTTTCAGCCGAGTATTCAGAGTAGAAATGGGAAATGACATAGGAGAAGAATATGCTATGAAAATATTAGCCAAAGCAAAGGTTTGTAGTTAACATATTACTCCAAATTATTCTAAAACTGGCTATCCTGGCCTAGATTTGCTGTGGGGAACAGCTTACTGCTTGGATTTTATAAACTGTAGATTACAAATTTGAAATTCTTCTAAAAGTATTAAACCTCTTCAGTAACTTAGGTAGTTAAAATTATCATGCGTTTTTGAACACACCAGAGGTGTTGTACTGATACTAGATAATGCTCTTACTGTTATAGCTTTTCTCTCCGTAACTTGTAGAAAGTTGTAAATGCCAAAAACCAAAAACCAAAAACAAATTACCAATATTAGAAGTTTGATGTGTTACCATATAAGATTGGGATGGCACTAGGGGGTTCTGTGAGTTGGTGGCTCAGTTGGTAGCACCGCGGACATTGGGCTCAAGGCAGTCACTTTGGTTTTAGATCCTTTTACCTACCACTACTTATTATCAGTAAAGTTCACCCTTGTACTGTACCGGCTCACCCCTTGCTTTGCAGGATACGTTCTACGCACAGGTCCGAAGCCTATGTGGGTGGGCAAATGAATGGTTAAAAGAGGCCACCAACCTTTTTTTATTAAACAAAATTAAACCCTAATGTAAATTAAGGTAGATAGGATATGTGTGATGCTGTAATGTAGCATTGTTACTTATACTGAGCATTGTTACTTATTTAGCAAGGCCCTATTTATAAAAAGCCAAATGGTCAAAGACAGCTGAGTCCAGTTTAAAATTGCAATGAAAATAAAATTAAAATCAATTTGTTGAGCCTGTGTGACGCAAAATTCTAGGGGGGGGGAATAAACTAGTATTCACCTAAGTCAGGCTAGGCCTACCCCTAGAACCGGCCACACTCAAATTTCTTCCCCGGAGTGCTCAGAAGGAGCCGAGAAAAATCCAGGGGTCGATACGAAGTTGTCACGGCTTTGACTGATCAATTTATTTAAAATTTAATCGAAGGCTCAGAGCTCTATAAACGTTCAGGAAATCCTGCAGACGCTCAGTTGGAGTTATATCATCCCAGCCTTCGTTAAAGGGTTTGGTAAATTTTGCCTAACTTTTAGATTCACTATGTAGGGCAGGTGAGTATTCTATCTGGGCCAATGCGATAAAATACTCGTCTTAAGCTTTAAAATATTAAACTAAAGACTCTAGTAAAAAAAATAAAAGTACGATGATCGAATGAACAAAATCTAGAATAAAAATCCCTACAGAGTCGTCAGAGCCTGATTAATATATTTGAACGGAGAATCTATCGTGCGGTGATTTAAAATAGATTCGATATTAATATTCGTTGCTGATTGTCAAATCGGCCTACTCCCAGACTTGGTTCTTTCACCCACCAAAGACGGGGTTTAGAACTCAGTTGATAAGTCTCGGGATATTAAAACGGTGAAAACAAGAAATAATTTAGACGTGATAATTATTTGTTAAGCGAACGGAGAAATCGTAATTTCAAAACTGATTAATTAAAATAAAATAAACGATAGCCACCGCTAGTCACTGGCAGGCAGGAAATGGCGGGTCAAGACTCAAGTTAAGATATTAAATTTAGATAATTCGAAACGGGATTTTAAGAAAACGATAAGGTATAATTAGTTAAGTCTTAAGTATGCGTAAGATAAAACAGAAATAACGTAATACGTAAAAAGGAACCTAACTAGTGTGGTAGCTAACCTTTGTAATAGAATCGTCTAGTTGTCGTCTGTCGTTGGACAACAAACACCAGTTCGAGGTTATGTCATGTTGTCATTGGCGTTAAATATTCGTAAAATCGGTCGGTTTAACTTTATTTGGTGAAATGGAGTGCTATTACTGTTAATTATGTTGTGTGAGTGTATGTATGTACTTCACTGTGATTAAAAGTAGGCCTACGTTCTTTGGCCCATAGCCCAAGCTATGGCCAACACATAGGCCTAGGAGTAGGTTATTGTGGATGAAAACTGGTAAGTTATGGTGTTTGTTGAATAGCATTACGTTTTTACCCCCCTTAAAATTTGGTACCCCACACCTGTTGTTTTTTTGTTAAATAATAAATTATTCTTTTCCAGGTAGTAGAAGAGAATGGAATTAACCAAGTGAAGGACGAGGTTATGATCCAATCATCTTGTGGACATCACCCTTTCATTGGGGCTTGCAAGTACTTTTGGCAGAACCACCGGTTTCTCTTTATAGGTGATTGAATTATATTTAATATTTAATGTTAGTGAATAACACGTAATCTCTTTCAAATTATTTCATTTATCACGGCAGATTCTATCTTAACAAAAATGAAGTAAGGGAAGGTCTCTAATCAGTTGGACTCAGACCTGGGTTCTTTTGTAACATTTCCTCAAGTCAGGCCAGCATGTTACCAAATCCCTTTGGGCTCGCACAGTTTCTGGTATTCAGTTCTTTTATGACTTAGACCACACCCAAGCTAAGGTCAAGCTTCTTGGCACGGAGAATACCTTTGACAAAGTGTGACACACAGGTCCAATGGTCCTCACCCTCCATAATCGGGAGGACCGTGTCCACCATTGACCCTCCAGCCAGGCTCTTTCCCAATGCAAGCAATAATAGGAAGTGTGTTCGGCGTCGTTGGGATTGTTCAGGCAGTATTGTTCAGACAGTAGGTGCAATTGGGCGACACAGCTTTACCCATCCTGAAAAGGTACGTCCGGGAAAATGGCACACACCCTCAATGGCATGATGGGGGCAATCCAATTTTTGGTCAGAATCACTATTTTGGTTTTGCTTAGGGCAAGTGAGAGACCGTAGTCTGATATCCATGCAATGATGGTACACATGACTCGGTTCAATTTCAGCTTGGCCAGGGATCATTACTACCTGCAGCTATCAAAGCCGCAGTGTCACCTGCATACCCAACTAATACAGTTTCCTCAGCCATCTAGACCTTATGAGGCTGTTGTGTAGGAGACGTTCCAGATGTCTGGGCCGAGTATGGATCCTTGAGTGTGGCACCAGAAGCGATATTCATCGTCTGCGGGCCTTACGTAGTGTCATAAATGAGTAGGTGGAACGAGAGCTATTTGCCTATGATGGGCGGTTTACCGGGAAGTTTAATATGTCCTCCAGAGCGTCTAGCATTATACTACCTTGCGGATTTAAATGCGTTTCTCACATTGAGTGTTATATCCAGCACAACCTGACAAGAGTAGTGGTTAAAATCCGCTATCATCACAGCTCGATTAATTTCCTCAATAGCATCAACATTTGACCGCCCTTCCTGAAGCTGACGAGGGGACAACGACAAGGGGCTGGCACTACGTCCATATATTGAACAATGGAATGTCATCAACCCTTTTGAACTCTATTAGTGGGCACAGCGTGTGAGCCAGATGAAGGGACTTGACTATTATCCACATACATCCATATCAGACGAAGGTGGAGAGTGAGTGCTAAAGTTCTGAGTATTTCCCACTGATTGGAATTGACATTGTCCCCTAATTTCCCAGCAACTGTATTTGGCCTGGTAAAGAGACTTCATAATCACTTTGTAGGCCTCTGACTTCTGACGTCTGTCTAAGCCCTACGGGCTCCCTTGACCCTGGTAGCAAGTTGTCTGGCTCTCATCCAGGACCAAATCAGAAATGGCGTACTGGTGGTCACTGGCCATGTAATCCTCCCGGACTCTCCTGGCTCTTTTCTGGATCGTTTGCCTCCGCCGGAAAGTTGGCGTGTAGCCCCTGTTAATGGTGAGTCCGGCCAAGATCGTCAGGGAATCAAGAGGATGTGTCCATATGCCTGTATTGGTACTGCTCTGCTCGCTAACTAGCAGCGCATGGATACCGTCCTCAAGGGCAAGCTGGCAGGATCAGATTTTCTGTACAGCGGACAAGGCCGCTAGGGTGGTTTCCTCTCTCTTGGCCGGTTGATGGCCAATGTCGGAGGGCCTCGGTCCAGTCCTAGAAGGCTGTTAATGTCTTCTGTCCAGTCCGTACTCTTGTACGGTGCGGAGGTGTAGGCAGACGCTCTCAATAAGGAGGTATATAGGATGCGGCTCATCCGAGTGCAGCGTCAGGCAGCACTAAGAGTAGCATCCGCCTACCAAACAGTGTCCGAACCCGCCGTCCTGGTGGTTGCTGGAGTCATCCCCGTCAAACTTTTGGCAACGGAGAGAAAGGCAATTTATCAGCGCCGTGGGGAGGACCAGGCACGAACAGAGGGACGCACCCGCACCTACCAGCTGTGGCAGGAGAGCTGGGAACAGGAGACACGGGGACGCTGGACCAGACGACTGATACAGCAAGTTCACCCTTGGGTTAATCGGTTAATTGGGTTAATTTAGTAAAAGGTATCTAACTTCGTTTTACCTAGGCAAATTTATGACATACTAATGACTGAACTGCTTGATACATTTCGGTGTGTTTATAAACCTAGTAAAACAATCTTTGCAGCGAGACTAGACTTTGAAAAATGTGTGAGAGGAAATGATGATAGTTTTTCAAATTTCGTCTTACATTTAAAAGAGTTAGCCTCCTACTGTAAATACGACAGGTATTTTGAGGAAAGAGTAAGGGATAGATTTGCTGGTGGCGTTAACTTTCCACAGTTTGAAGTTGAAATCAGGCAAAGGTGGCCAGAAGGCATAAATAAAGATGGTTCACGTTTAACTTTAAATGAGTTGGTAGATTTAGCTGAAGCCATGGATAGAGCTAAGCGGGAAATGAATATTTTAGAAGAAGCTATGCCTGTAATTAACAAGGTACATAACTATGATAAGAAAAATAGATCTTTGGCAAAAGAAACATACAGCCATTCAACAGAAGATTGTAATCAGTGTGGACTAGTACACAGTGGAGAATTTTGTCCAGCTCAAAAGTCTAAGTGTTTTTAATGTGGAAAGCATGGTCATTTCATTTCTCACGACAATGTGGAACCAAAAAGACAAAACAATGTCACTTCTGTGGAAAGATGGTACATTTTCCGCGACATTGTCGTTCAAAAAAGGCCTATTTGAACCAAGTCAACGACACAGACATAAAATCTGAGAAAGAAGAGGTACAGTAAGGAATTTCTGAACTTAAACCTAATAGGAAGATCCCAAGAGCTCAACTTAATGTTACCCTAAATGAAGTACCAACCACCATGGAGTTTGATTCAGGAGCTAGAGCATCGATGATTGATGCACCTCTGTGGAAACAAATTGGATCACCAAATTTGAGGGCATGTAAAACAAAATTTGTCGCTTATGGAAACAATACCCTGGATGTTTTAGGAGAGTGTGAAGTTAATGTTAAAGTTGATGGACAGATTACGAAACTTAAGGCTGCTGTGGTAAATGGAAACGAATCACCTTTGTTTGGATTACCATGGATGCTTGCCTTCAACATGAAATCACCACCTAGTGTTACGATTCGTAAGTTGGATAACGCCAATAAGGATGAAAATGCTTCTACAGTAACCGAAGAGGAAATTAAACAAGTTATTTCAGAGTTTAGTGATGTATTTAAGAAAGAATTGGGAACAATTAAAGGCTATCAGGCGAAGATAAATGTTAAGAGTGACTCAGAGCCTAGGTGTTTTCCTGCTCGCAGAGTGCCTTTTCCACTAAGAAGTAGAGTTGAGCAAGAACTAAACAGACTGGTAAGTGACGGTGTTATAGAAAAGGTAGACCCTTCCAAAACTCCTATCGAATGGGCAACACCGCTACACCAACAGTAAATGTTGAGAAGGAAAATGGCACAATTAGAATATGTGGAGATTTTCAGGTAACCTTAATGCCAACTATGTTGGACAACATGAAACCAAACCTTAGACAACAATTAGATCTGAAATTTTGTAAGGAACAACAAATCCAACTCAAAAGAAAACCTTAAGAGCATTCAGTGAAGGGGAAGAAGTATGGATGAAAAAAGAGAATAACCCTGGTTGGATAGCAGGAACAATAGTCAAACGCAATGGCTTATACTCTTATGAAGTCATGTGTGGTGGAGTGATAAAAAGAAAACATTCGGATCAACTGCGAAGAAGAGAAGGTGGGGTAGACGATGAGGAGGGAAAAGTGTAATATATTGGAATCAGCTGATAATTTGGTTTTATGTTTATTATGAAAATGAAAACAAATAATGTTATGTTTTGTTCTGTGATTAAATGAGTTTAAGTTAGTTCTTGATTTTTAGTCTTTTAGTTTTGGCATTTGGGTAAGATTGTTGAAGAGTTTTATAATAATTGTAAAATAAAGTTTGCTCTAAAAATATGCTGTCCTCACTTCTATATCAGTAAAAGTAAAAACCCAAAGTAAAACTTCACTACATCTTTCTATTCTTATTGGCAAGTCCTATTTAACTTAAGATATGCCAATTTAAATAAAAAACAAAAACTTAAACCTGTGTGCAATGTACATTAGGGTACTCAAGTCCATTATCATAATTTCTTACAGTTCCAGATGATACTGGCCCAAATTACATATCAACTTATACCAAGGTTATGTTTCAGTGAGCGAGTACATGTGTGGTGGTGAGTTGTGGGAGTTGGTGAACAAATACAGAGTCTTGCCTGAAGATTTGGCCCGTATTTACATTGCTGAGATGGCAATAGCATTAGGTATTTTTATGACATTTATTTTGATGTAACATTATCTTACCTATTGTAAACTTTATAGTATTTCAAAATGATGATGCAATTTAAATCTCTTTTATACTTAAAGTACTACATTAATATTTCATTTAACGAAATAAATTTGCTAAATATGAGAGTTTATTACAGCTTGACCTCAAAATCATTGAGCTAAAATAAAAATGTTAATGGTTTTAATGATTTATATTTTTATAAATTTTCAGACTTTCTACATAATGCTGGTGTGATCTACAGAGATTTGAAACTAGAAAATATTGTTTTGGACAGTTGTGGACATGTGAAACTGATTGACTTCGGACTGGCAAAACACCTTAAATATGGACGAAGAACTACTACTATTTGTGGCACCCTTCAGTTTATGGGTGAGTGTGTTGTAATAAAATTAACATTAAATTAGTGTTTAAAACAATTAAATCTATATACATAACAAATAGTATTAAAAATATTAATGTGTGGAATATGGGAACAAAGTAGATGTTGAATACATCATCTTATAAATATAAACTCGCCTTGGGCTCGCTGGGGGCTCCACCACTAGGCTTCTTTTTTGGTTAGGGGATTGTAAGAAATTTCCTCGGAGAAAATCTGTTTTTGAATAATTCTTTTACTGAACGTATCTATGTATCGTCAAGCCACGTATCTTATGGTCATACTGTCAATTTTAGATAATGTGAACTGAAACCTATTCATGTCTTTTCCACTATGGTTTTCCTTATACTGTATATATATATATATAAGGTAGGTATAAGTTAAAAATCATTCTTGAAAAAATTTGTAATAGGCTACTGAATTTCGTTCAGAATATCTAATACTGAACAGTCTGTCGCTCATCGAGGTAGGCGCAGCCTATAAGTTAACATCTGGTCTGAATGGTCAATACCTTCCACGAAGGAGTTGTACAAATCTATTATCTCTGGTTTTTCTTTTACAATTACCTCATTATTTCTTACTACTGATTTTGCAACACTCTTAGTTGACAGAAGAAGTACTGGGTTCTTTTCGTAGTCTTTTTCCTTGTATGCAACCATGAATTTGTGGTCTTTACGGTTGTAAACTTTTTGTCCTACTTCAAATTTTTATTTTAAAGCATCAGCATCAGGTATACCTTTCCTGTTTTTACTCATAGTGCCTGTAATGTAAGTCATCCTTTCATACAGATAATCTGCCAAAGGTATGGATATAAAGAAATTATCTACAAATAACTCCTAGAGAATTTATGAAATCATCACTCAACTCACTAATTGCACAACAATCTCTGTCACGTTATAAAATATTGTCTCTTCACTCACTGTCGACTCATTTCAACCAAGTTTAGTCATATTTACCAACTAAAAACGCATCAACACAACTTATAAGTCTTAAGAAGTTATCTATAAACACATGATCACTGTTGACAAATGTCAGACGACGCCATCTCGGGAAATCTTGTCCACCCCGAGAAAAAAAAAACCCAAACGAAGGCAGTCTGTTTGCTACACCTTTGCTACCTTTGCAAACATGAAGCCCAGACTATGCTGATTCGATTGGTGTGTTATTTGTGGCTTTTGGACATAGAGGTGGCCAGTAAACAAACATTTAGCAGACGTCCAATATATCGGACCGCGGCAGCCAAAGGGTTTTAATTATAAAAATTGAAGTTATAAATTAATTTGATCAGTGTTGCCAGATGAGCTGATAATATTCTCTCTGTACAGCACCTGAAATATTTGAAGGCCTCTACGGACATGCAGCAGATTGGTGGAGCCTTGGAGTGATATCCTACCTTCTTTTAAACGGAGAGGTAAGATATGCCCTTTTTGAATAATGTATTGTTTGTTGTCCCCTTAGGGAATAAGCTAAATTATGGTAGGTCTCATGGCAAGACCTAGACCCGGGATCGAATAACTTTTTCGTTTTGATGTCCCCAGAGGCCAGGAACACCATCCGCTTAGTTTATAAACTTGCTGCTGCGGGTGTATTTTTTTATTCATGGGGAGGAGGTTAAAATGCGTTTACACACACGGAGAGGCTCAATGTCCCCTCAGTAGTGCCGGACTCTCACCGGCTCAATGTATCCAGACTACTGGCTAAAAAAACCCCATTATCTCCTATGACACTAGCCTGGAACTGTTTAGCACATTTGTCCTTTTTAACTATGCCACTAGGACTTTCCTTCTCAGTTTCTTCCTAAGGTTAAGACCGATCGAGAATGAACCTTCTTAGCTCGAAGTATGGCCTCGGCAAACTGCTTGACATAGTTCCAGGTCCCTGTGGAGACTAGCTCCAATGATGTTGTCGGGATGATGTCAACACTGATCAAAGTCAAAGTCAAAATCATTTGATCTCAGAAATCAAAGTTGTTCAGCGGACACGCCACATGCCAGAGGAAGAGAAGGTGTACTTGGCAGTGTCTGCAATGCCGGGAAAGTACAGACAGTCTTGCTGGCGACCCTCCCTATTCTGTGCAAAAAAGCCTGGAAGTATCTGCGACCCAACAAAATCTCGGGTCACAAAATACCCGACCTTGCCATGCTGCCACTTCACCCATGGTCGAATGCTGGGAATGAGCCTGGCGATCCAACATCACCCATACTAAGCGTCATATTACCTACTGCTTTTTCCTTAAAAGCTTAAATTGAAATTTTGATATTTTTAACATTAGTCTTATGGATTGTCAAGTAGCTATGGGAGTTTTAAGAAAATGTAAATAAATGAATTGTAGCATATGCTTGTAACAAATCATCTACAGTAAAGAAGCAAATTACTAAATGCAGTACAAAAGAAAAAGAACATTCCAACGAATACTATTTAGCATTGATTATAAATACACTTGGGGTGTTTTACTAAGCAAGGGATGAATACGACTACCAAAAAACTTAGAGTATTTTACCGCAAAACCAAATTACACTACGCTAATATTGAATTGAAACCCTCAAGGAAAAGAAAAGGACGTTTTGTAGTTTTCGACGATGCGCTGCAGGAATGAGCAGGTTGTTTGTATAATTCCAGGGATTATAAAAAAGAAACATTACGGATCATAAACATAAACAAAAATGACCCCAAAATAAACATGTTTGTATTATTATTTCAATGCAACTGTCAAAAAGCGTCCAAAACCGATGAAGAGATTATTTGTCTTAAATTCCAACCAGTGACGTCGTTCTTTTATATTTTTGATCCATACTCACGAGTTTGTTAATGAACTTTATTGTAAATATTTTCAATACAATATAGACCGATTGTCTGTATGGAAATGTTCGTTAAGTAAATTTAAAATGAAGAGGGAACGACTACCAAAGCTAAATTGGCTTTAGACCTTAATTAACCGTGAAAAATTGAAAATGAAGACGATTTACTCGTAAAACACGGTTTAAGTTATATGTTTTGATAGTTTAACTAGAGTTTCAATGTGTAATATTACATGTCATTCATTCATCATTAACATTAATTTCTGTATTATTTTGTGTATTTTCTCTCATAATGTCTGTTAATGCCCCTGATAATGTGTTATCAGTTATTTAATTTGTTCCTCTTGTTAATGTGTTAAGTATTTTATCCAATTTTGTTTAATGTTATATAATATCCCATCACCCCACAGAAACATCATCCTATTTTATGTTACAATATAATATTTATGCAAATTCTCTCCATACCTATTAAGTACTCATCAAAAACCAACAATAATCATTTATTTAGAATAATATAGAATTGTAAGAAAATTGCAATATAGTAATAACATCTTAAATATAGTATCACTTTTCAAAATTATCCAAAGAAAATCAAAATTACTGTGGCAAGTGTCATTCATGTAAATTAACCAGCTGTACATCACTTCAACAATGGACATGGACTTCCTGAGCTTCTACCATTGCCTCTCCCCAGATCCTGCCAACTCTTCACAGTGTGAACATCATTCTATAATTGGAAATTGTGTTTAATTTAAACTAAAATTCATAATCCCAAAGTAAAACCTAAATTTAAATTTCTCATCATCCAAAAGTATTGGACAAGTGCATTGAAGAGTACCAATTTATAAGAAGACAGACACTCCAAATTTGGTAACCATCATCCATCTTATTTAACTAAGGACAAATTTAATCTTCATTGGACATTTAATCAGCATAGCCTAATAGGCCAAATTAACTTAACTCATCAAGATATACATATTTCAAATTGAACTTTTATTCTAAATTTAATCTTCAAATTCTATTTTATTTCATTAAATTCAGTGAAACCATTTGGAATCTTTCTTTGGACATTAACATTATTATATTAATAGCATCATGAACCTAGCTTAACTTATTTCAGAACAATAACTAAATTAAATTATTTGCATTTTAAAGAAGCCTAATATATCATTCGAACCGGCACGACCACCCCTCCCTGAGATTAAGAGGTCATCTATTTGAATATTAATTAGTACTTAAGAAGAAACCAACCCAATATAGACCTAAGCCTAGAGAATCTTTTCATCCACTTTGGAACCCCACCATTTTGAAAATTTACCATCATTGTTAACTTACCCTGTAGCTAATTCAACCAATAACTTATCTTTTGTATTTCATTAATAAATTATATATTGTAACTTACCAAATCTATTTATTCTTAGAATAATTCATAATTATAAGATTAAGACAAAGACTTACCTTATTACACAGAAATAAAACACAAATTAGGAATTATCTTTATTAGAAAGAAATGACTTTGAGTTCAATGTGGGCTAACTTAGTAGCCAAAGGAATTTTGTAGGCCTAAGTTAATGAATAGCCTATAGAAAGCTTTATGGTGCGTAGCAAATGTACCTAATAGTTTTATTTTAATATGTTTGTTTTATTTATTATATTAATTCTAAATGTGATTTAGTCAGGGCCTGATTACCCATTAGGCTAATTAGGCTGGAGCCTAGGGCGCCAGTCAGCCAAGGGTTTTAGGGGGCGGGGCGCCAGACAGCTAAGACTTAAAGTTAGGACCGGATTCGTAAAAAATGTTTTATTCCAAAAAAAGATTCGCGCAGATAGGGAATGAGGCGGGGAAGGGTGCGTTAGGCAGATTTTCATAATCATTATATTTATAGTAATAATTGATTTGTAAAAACATTTAACGATACTTTTTGTTGCAGATAAATTCTGTAAACTAAGTAATTCCATCTAAAGGCCCTAATAAAATCGTTTTAGGCATAGGTGATTAACAGAGTTAATTTAGAAAGTATGTATATTATTGTTTGGTTTTTTGATATTTTACGATAGGTCTACTTTTGATTTAATACAATCATATGTTTAATAAAATGTAAAATAAATACATTATTTTAAATCAAAAAGTTTTACATTCCTTGAACAACCGATTTGTTACTATTTTAAAAGTTCCTAATCAAAGCATGCATTAATTTATGATCAGTTTTCTTATGTTTTTAAATAAACTGAATAGTAGTATAATGCCTTTGGCCACTTTTAATTTTTGAATTCAGTATTAGTATTCATACTTTGAAATTTTGAAAGTGGTGGCAGAGAGGAGGGGTAGTGGTAGGGAGGAGGGGGCGCAAAAAAAAGTCAGCCTACTGGCGACTAGACCCTTAATCAGGCCCTGGATTTAGTTTAAAAACTAACTTCTTCATACTCGTGTCAATCATATGCTCTATACTCTAGAGCATAAAGTAAAGCCGTGAAATTTGTTGTCTCGCAAACCCTTAAGTTCAGCCTTTGAAACTACATTAGACAGCCGAAAACCGCATATTAGAGTGTTTATTTGCAGTTTTTACTAACTATTTTGCTGTTGTTATGTTTACACCTTATTTCTAAGAGTAGATTCATCAGTGGAATTCATTACTTTTGAATATAAATGACATTTTCTTAGGCCTAGCATAAAACTGTACGATGTGTCTATAATTGGTAGAGGAAACCCCAAGTCAAATATAGGCCAATAAGCTATTAAATATGAGATTAACTAAGTTATTATAACATTAAGTCTTATACAGTGGCTCAGCTTAAAAAAATGTCAATACTGTAATGTCACAGGTCGACACCATCTCTTGTAGTCTTCGTAGCGGTTGGGAGCAGGAGACCAATTAAACTCGTGGATGAGGGATCAGATAACACTTTATTACTTAAAAATTGAGCTTTAGCAATTTCAACGATTAAAATAACACATTACAAATAACAAATCAAACCGCGACTGACCGAATAAACTACGAATTTCAATACTGAATTTAGAACGTACACGGACTTAGAAGAAAGGAGTAAGAGTAAAAGAAAGGGTGAGACCGCGCGCGCGGACCCAACCTTAAGGACCCTACATCTCGGCGTGATCTGAGGCTTCAGCGTTGTCAGAGCGGAAGCATCAGCGTGGTCACATGACCATCGTCAGCCAATCAGCGCACGCTGAGCGCTCAGCCCATGATTCAATGCAATAACAGTTGCTCGACTGGTGCTGCGCTCAAACGCAGGCGTTAATGAAACTAATTGAAGCGAGAAACGAGTCTAGAAATGGAACATTGCTTATCGCGACACACGTGCACTGCAAAGTCAGCACATTCCAGGGTATATCCGGCCAAGCCACAACGTCTGGTTAGGATTATTGTAGGGTTACATTACAAGGTAATGAAATGAATTGGAGCATGAGTTTTAAGGTTCACTTGGAGACTTTATGAAGTTGAATAAAATACAATATTGCTAAATACGGTTGACACATCAACCTAGCAAATATTCGGTGGTAGCCAACGGGCCAGGTTTAGGGAGTAAGGCCAATCAGCTTAAGCTCAAAGTTAACAAATGACAACAAAATGAGGCAAATATGCCAGGTCGTCAC